ACTCTTTTATTCTAACTCCATATAGCAAGAGCAAAGTGCCACAGTAATATTTTCTTTTGGCAAAAATCAGATTTATAATAACTTTTGGGTTAGTTTTTATTTCCCCCTCAAATGGTGGGAAAAATAAAAGAGAAGGGATGAACCGCTGGAAATAGAAATGAATAGCTTCATTATCATAATGCACCAAGACCAAATCAGGTGTGCGATTTCTTTTCAAAGAATAAATTATACATTTTCCCAACAGAGTTACACAATAGTATTGTCTTGAAAGAGAATTCAGCTTTTTATTGATTTAATCAGCCTGAGTTCCCCTGGGCTCTGCACTGGGAGATGCTAATAACAGATACAACAGCAGTGTTGATAAATGTAAATGGTCAATGGGTAAAAGGCCTTCGTATGGTTCTTTTGTTTTCATGGTTTCTGAGGACAAATCTCATGAAGTTGACACAATGGTTCATAGCACCAAGTTCATCCTGGTAAACAGAAAGTGATTGCTTTGCCGAGTTGCTCTGTCCTGTTCTCCATTCCGGCTGAGAAATGGTTCTGCCTATGCAGCTTGAGTTCATTTGGACCTGACTGTTTCAGCCGCACAGCAGCGAACCACTCATTGGCAATGCAGACGGAGGAACCTGAGGTTGGAGGGTCTGGGTAACCAGGTACAGGTGGGGATTAGGTGCAGGGAGCAGACCACGATGGCGGAAACGGCCCACCATTCATATCCTCGTGGCCTCTGATGTCCCCTGTCCATGCCCTGTAGTGCAGAGAACTCATAAGGACCTTATTGGAAGTGATGGTGGTCTTTAGAACCAGACATGTCACGGGGCAGAGAGTGGGAGAGTGATTGTCTGAATCAGAGACGGAAGAGGATCTTTCAGAGGGCGAAGGAAGGAGTGATTAATTATAAGAAGAGCATAGAATTATTGCAAAATAACTACTCAGAAACATTTCCTAATCATCTGCCATGTGCAATGCACCGCTGTTATGGGGAGGGGTCAAGAGGTTGAAAATATAGCTGCTTTGAGATTTTCACAGTCTCACATGACTTGAACTGATGGACTTAAGACCAGATTGACTGTCATGTTGTGTGACCAGATGATGGATACTTGGGACTATTTCTTACCCTCCTCCCACCACCCCCAGCCAGAAAATTTAAAAAATGCCATGGGGATCACATCCCTTCCCTGCTCCTTCTGTTTTCTGTTAAGGTCAACTCCAAATTTCTAGCAAGGCTGATGCGAACTGGCTTGTGGCTGCCTGAGCCTCCCTCACCTCTGTGCCAGCCCTGGTCTTGTCATGGACCTTACCAGCCCCTACTTGTGTGGCCAGCCACATCCTATTTCAGAGTGTTTGAACAGAGTCCTTTCTCCCTTTTGCCTGCTCCCGACCAGACCACAGCCTATTTATCTTTCAGGCTTTCTCCTGAGATGTATCCTCTTCCTAACCACCAGTGCTTCTCAGGGTCCTGTGCTCTTTCTTTGGTGGCACTTCTCACTCTCGAGCACACTTGCTTTGTGTGATTATCAATGAGATCTCGGTCTTCTCCTGTTACTTGGTGATCCCCCTGAAGATGACGGTAAGGGCCAAGGTTGTCTTATTCCCTGCTGTGTCCCCGGCATCTATCCCAGGCCTGACTCATGCTCTGTGAATGAGGGATGGCTGGTGAATGGATGGATGAATGAATGGATGTGGAAGGAGAGATTCCGCTGAGTTGATGCAGTTGTCCCTTCAAAGCATCTCCTCCTACTAGGGCACTCGGTGTGTGGTACTAAGCATCCTGTTTGTCTACCCTCACCTTCCCATAAGCTCCTAGAGGGCAGGGGCTGGATCATAATAATCTTTTCATCTCCAGAGTTGGGCACACCTAGAAACTCCATACAGGTCTGTGGGATGAAGAATGAATTGTGCAAGAATGGAGGGGCTTACCTGGGTTTTAAATCATGCTTGGGGATGAGGGTGAAGAAAAAGCAAATTTAAGTATTCAAAACCGCAGTTAAGAGTTGGGATGCAAAACAAGATTAGGGTTAAAAAAATAAAGAAAAGCTGAGAACCTGAATTAGAAAAATACCCGCTAGTCACCAGACACAGCTTGACAGGATGTACTCACACTACAGATGGGAGGGCTGGGCTGCGGAGGGCGCTTGGAATTTCCCCAGCTGAACTTAGTGTCTTGAATGATGTCTGTCTTTCAACGTGCTGTTCACCTCAGGAGTGCATTCAACAAATATTTATTAAGCACTATTCCATAAATTCCCAATGTTGGGAATGATCATTAAAGGACACAGAAATTGGCTCTTGGTGGTGAAAAAAAAATCTTACTCTTAAAAAAATTTTTTTTTTATTGATTTCAGAGAGGATGCAAAAGGGAGAGAGAGAGAGATAGAAACATCAATGATGAGAATCATCAATCAGCTGCTTCATGTACCCACTGGGGATTGAGCCTGCAACCTGGCCATGTGCCCTGACCAGAAAGCAAACAGTGACCTCTTGGTTGATGCTCAACCACTGAGTCTCGCCAGCTGGGCAAAAAAATCTTACTCTTTTTGTGTAAAGCACAGATATACATCTAATACATAAACAGGTGCATATATACCTATGGTATAACATTTCGTAGTGGAGGTGATTCGGGAAATGGGCGGGCTCTTTCAGGGGATGATAATGAAAAAAAGATTGCGAACCAACCTACTCTGTCAGGCACTATCTGGTCAATGCCCACCCCCATGGAGCTTTCATTTCTGTGAGGCAGATGGGCAATAAATAACCACAAGTGTCAAAGAATAAGAAATTTACCAAGAAAAGCAGGGCAAAGGGACAGAATGCATGGGGTCAAGTGTGGGGATATCTGTGGTTATTTTAGGGAGGGGTCAGGGGATACTTGAGAAGCATCTGGAAGAAGTGAGGGGTGAGTATTGCGGGGATGGAGGACTGAGACCTCAAGGAGACCACTTGAGCAGGATGCGTGAGGGAAGGATGGTAGGAAATGAGCCTGCAGACCGGACAGGGGCCAGATTGCACAGGCCTTGTAGGCCATGTAAGGGGGTTGGGTTTTGCTCTGAGTATGATGGAAACTGTTGGGGAATGACACGATCTGATTGACCTTTGGATTAGATCCCTCTGGCTGCTGTTTGGAGGATGGACTGTAGAGGCGGGAGTGGAATCAGGGGACCAGCAAGGAGGCTGGTGCTGGGGTCTAAACAGGAAGTGATGGTGGCTTGGGGATGGTGGCTTGGGGGAGGGGGAGGTTAGGCTCCTGTGTATGGTGAAGGTGGAGCTCGCAGGACTTGCAGAGGGGATTGGATGGAGGCTGTGAAAGGAGTCACTTATGCCCAGGTTTTAGTCTGGGCCAATGGGTTCAATTAGTTGAGACCTTGAGATGAAGTTGACAGTGGGAGGAACCTGCCTTCCCAGGGACCAATCCTATAGTGACATTTTCCTCCTACCAGCTGCTGGCCTCTGTCATTGACACCAGGCTTAGCATACATTTATTTTATACTAGAGGCCTGGTGCACGAATTTGTGCACAGGTGGGGTCCCTTGGCCCAGCCAGTGATCGGGGCTGATTTGGGCCAGCTGGCTGGGGGGAGGGCCTGCGGGAGGTTGGCTGGCCATGGGAGGTTGGCTTTGGAAGCACACTGACCACCAGGGGGCAGCTCCTGTGTTCAGCGTCTGCCCCCTGGTGGTCAGTGCATGCCATAGTGACCGGTCCTAATGGTTGTTTAGGCTTTTATACATATAGATTGCCTTCTTTCATTACTTATTTTTCTACCGTATCTAGTCTTTAAATGCATTTAGGAAAGAAACTATTTCTTTTTTAACTTTTCCAAGAGACAGGCAATGGAGCAGAATGGTCAAAATTAGTTGTATGTGCTAGGGTGAGTGTTTTATTTATTAAATTTTTTTAGGGTAAGTATTTTAACTGCTTAACCCCTTTCCCTTCTCCTTCATCCTCTCCATTCTCCTTTTTCTCCTTCCGCTCTTCCTCTTTCTTCTCCCCCTTCTCCTCCTCCTTAACTTAAGTAATTAAAATTTCATTGTTTGGTCAAATGGAGATGGCAGCATTATCTTCTTCCTGTGGCTCTGTGAGAGCGAAGTGAGTTTTGCATGTAAAGTGCCTCTTGTGGGTCTGACAGGCTGTTGGCACTTGGTGATCTTTATGTGTGTGGCTCCCCTTGCTCAGGGCTACACTTAATGGATGCATCACTTCTTGTCTAGGACTCTCAGTGGAAAGACTCAGAATTTTTATGAGTTGGGACTAGGTTAGTGCTCCCTTCCCTGTGTTGAACCAGAAAGTATCCAAATTGATGATGGAAATCAGCAACAGTCTGAAAAATGAATTATGATGCCCCAGCACCTGGACCAGAAATTGGGTCACCTGTCACCTTTTACTGACTGGACTAATTTGACCTTGGGCCTCAATTATAACTCAAGGTCAAGCAATGCTTTCTCAAGCATTAGTTCTCTTTGCTGCTTCTAATACCTGATTGGACAGAGAGGTCTCTGATGTGCAGAGAGATTATGTAACCTGCCCAGTTCTCATAGCTGGTAAGAGGCAAGCTGGGACTAGAACCCAGTCTAACTTCTAGCTTCTTGTTTTTATTATCTCATCATGCTGCACCCAGAACTTAGTTCCATGAGGCCAGGGAATGATGTCATGTAGCAGGTGTCCATGTGCCCAGGTTAAACTTTGGGGTTCCATTACTATAGAAGGAGGAACAGACAGATGTTGGGTGAACAGTTAGTGTCTACCATAGATGGCCTCTCTGAGGAAGTGACATTGAAAGTGAGAACCTAAGGATGAGTAGGTGTTAAAGAGAGAGAAGAGTTTTCTGGGCCGGGGGATAGCATGTGCAAGGGCCACGAGGTGGGAAAGACCAGCTCTGATGTTTAATGATGTTTCACGAGGCACGTGCCTACCATGCACATAACTCCAGGTGCTCAGGACTAGACCTGGCGCCAGAAGGCAGCTGCTCTGGGCTCACCTGGCTTTTCTCTTGTATCTTGCAGGGCTGGGCCGGGCCTGGACTGCAAGGAGGGGGGCTTTGTGCTGACTCTGGAAGGCCTCTGTGTATCCTCAGCTTTGAGAACTGAATTCCATGGGTTGTGTCAGTGTCAGACCTGTGAAGTTCAGTTCTTCAGCTGGGATAGCTCTGTCATCGTGGACCCGAGGAACACTGGAGAGAGCAGCGGAAGAACTTGGAAGACTGGAGATGGAAGGGCCAAGCCTCGGCTCTGAAGGAACAGGGAGGGTGGGTTCAGGGGAAAAGCACTCATCCAATTTCGAGAAGACTTGAATTCTATGCTGAGCAATGTTCCAACTAGCTAAACCGATGCTCCTGGCGAATCATTCTTACTGTTGCTGCTGTTCCAACTAGTTTACATTTATCGAGTCGTTGCAACAAGCCAGGTACTGTACTAACTGCTTTCCACGCTGTTGCAGGAGACTCCTGCGGGCGGAGACACCCAGCACTGCCATGCAGTGATTTTTCTCCTTTTCATGGGATTAGACAGGATTCGTGGAATGTGACCAGTGTTCTTTAGTATACATTGCTGAGGTTACTGGTTCCTTTTTAAGATGAGAAACATAGGTACATCCCTGTTATGGTCCCCCCTCACCCTTTAATTGAATCTCAACTTTCTTGCCTTCTATCAATACATTTGGGCTACTTCGTATCTGTGTATTCCAAACAAGGCAAAAGGATTGTCACTAGCCTTTACCCCAGTTTCTCCCAGGGTTGTGATGGCCCCTTCATTTGCTGGCATGGCCAGCTGTGTGCTGTGGGTCAGGCCCTCTGTTGTCCTCTGTCACCAAGTCAGCTGGGTCTGATCCGAGTCTGGGTCTTGCTGTGACAATGACGATTTCCACCTTTATAGGGTTGGGGGCTGTGTATGTGCTCTTTGGACTTCATTAGGCTTTAGCTTGGATGGGGAACTCATCTTTGATTCTGCACTATCTCTTGGTGTCCTGAAATGCCCAACTCATTATAGTCTACAGAGTGGAAGTGTGGCCTGCCCCAGAGACCCTCCAGCATGTGGATTCTCACTCTGCCTTCTCAGTGACATGTTTATTGAGTGGGTACTATGTGCCAGGCACAGTGCTCAGGGCATTTTGTGAGTGATCACAGGGAATCCCACATCAAACCTCACCTGGGAAATGAGGATGGATTAGCAAAAGGATGTCCTGTAAAACAGTGTACCTACATTCTACTGATGCAAAGGGTGCTTGGTCCTTCTGAGAGCCCCCAGCCTGGGTGTGGGATGTGGGTGTGCTCTCTGGGCTGGGCTGATCACATCACCGCCCCCACCTGTCTCACTCTGCCCACTTCCACCCTTTGCTTACTACACCCTTAGCCAGTGACTCATTCTAGAACCAGAACACCGGTGAGACTCAACTGAGACCGGAGATTAGTGCCATTAGTCCTAGGCCACTAGGGAAAGTTCAGAGTTTACACCAGAGGCTTCAATACTCTGTGTTTGGGACCATCTCTGCTCTGAACACTGACTTAGACCCAGAACTCTGACTTACTCCAAAAGACTCGTTCTTATTGCAGGCAAACTCTTCCTGAAGCAAGCCTGATAAGTGAGATGCACACACACACACACACACACACACACACACACACACAATAACTCTGTGGATCTGTGGGGAGTCAGCAAAAATTCACGACATAAAAGAAAGCTTCATTTCCTAAGAGGATTTGTGCTAAGATTCCACTAAGTAATACATTTTCCGAGTATCTTTGAGGTTGTATGAGCTTTATCTAAACTTATTTTATACAAGTTTAAAAAATAGAATACAAACTAGTTTGGATTATACATAAAATTTATGGAAGTATATAGGATTATGTACATTGAAAAATGTACATCAATTTATTAATGGGGATTGTCTCCAGGGCAGTGAAAATTGAGATGCCTTTTCCTTTCTTTGTATTTTTCTCTATTGTTTGATTCTTACGCTGAGCATATTTATTTAAAACAATAAAGTTATTGAAGGATGTTTTGTATACAATTGTGATGACTCTAAACCAGCCGTGGGCAAACTATGGCCCGCGGGCCGGATCCCGCCAGTTTGAAATGAAAAAAACTAAAAAAAAAAAAAGACCGTACCCTTTTATGTAATGATGTTTACTTTGAATTTATATTAGTTCACACAAACACTCCATCCATGCTTTTGTTCTGGCCCTCCGGTCCAGTTTAAGAACCCATTGTGGCCCTCGAGTCAAAAAGTTTGCCCACCCCTGGTCTAAACAGTGTCGGTGCCGTGTGTGGGTTAGAAGCTATGTTGTGGACGCGTAGGGGAGGTTCCTGGTGTGTTCGGTGAAGGAGGTAGGCATAGTGCAACATGCAGTGGAATCTTATTTTTTAAGAGGTGTGTGTGTGTGTGTGTTGGTCCAGTGGGTAGTGGGTGGTAAGGTAGCCGGTGATTTTTTTCTCTCCTTTAGTTATGCTTCTCTGCCCAAATAAGAAAGAAATAAAAAAAGAACCCTCAGTATATATGCTACTTTCCAAGAATTCATCCATTGTGTAAATCAGTGGTTTTCAAAGTGTGTTTCCTGGATGAACAACATCACTAGATGTTGCTCTAACGGGAACTTGTTAGAAATGTAAACTCTCAGGCTCCTCCCACGACCTGTTGAATAAGAAACACTGGGAGCAGGGCCCAGCAATTTGTTTGAACAAGCCCTCCGGCTGACTGAGGGCACAGTAAGGTTGTAGAATTGGTGTCAATCACGGGACTGAAGTGTGACTGATGATATGAAAGAGGCCCGCCCTCTCTTAAGTGCACGGGCAGGTATTCTACAGCACTTAACTCTGAAATGCTGATGGACAGCAGGACCACAAAACCCCAAGTCAACAACCAGTGTCCATGTCCACCACTGAGCAGTAGGTCTCCACGTTTTTAAAGTGCAAACTTTAGGTGCATAGAGTCACCTGAAGAGGTTGTTGGTTATGGCAGACTCCTGAGCATCTCCATCACCCCTAAGGGTTCCCAGCAAGGAATTCTAAGACAACACTTTGAGGCTTTTTTAGACTTTCTTTTTTACCTGTAACCCCTTCCCTCCGTTTCTTCATCTTTCCTCCTCATCCTTTCCCTTCCTGCTATGATTGATGAGGTCTCAGAAACAGGCACCTCATCATCCTTTTGGCTCTGTGCTTGGAAGAAGACAGGTCAGATGCTCCTGGAGAGGTGCCTTGAGAGTCATCATCGTCATCATGATGGACGTATTGCTTTGCCATCTTCAGATAACTAGGGGAAGGTCATGACTTATCAGCTCACATTGATGGGACACGGTGGGAAGTTGGACACACTACTCAATAGTCGCTGCCTATCCATGTTCGAGGCAGCTGAGAGTCAGTGACTTACGGGACACAGTGGCTTCCTAAGTTCTCCTAGCAGTCAAACCATTGTTAGGTGGAGAGTTCTGGGGTAGGGTTCTCTGGAGAAATGGGACTGAGAGAGAGAGAGAGAGAGAGAGAGAGAGAGAGAGAGAGAGAGAGAGAGAGATTGAGATTATAGGGAATTGGCTCATGTGAATACGGAGTCCCACTGGACAAGTCCCAGGATCTGCAGGTCAGTTGTCTGGGTGGAGACCCAGGAGAGCTGATGTTTCACTTTGAATCCAAAAGCAGGGGAAAAACCAGTGTCCCAGCTCAATAGTCAGGAAAGAGTCGGCCCCGCTTACCAGCAGGGGTCAGCCTTTTTGTTCTATTCATGCCTTCAGTTGGGTGCATGGGGCCCACCCACATTAGGGAGGGCAATCTGCTTTATTCAACCTACTGATTTAAATGTTAAACTCATCAAAAAGCATCCTCAGAGATACTCCCAAAATAATGTTTTTTTGTTTTTTTTTAAAATATATTTTTATTGATTTTTTTACAGAGAGGAAGGGAGAGAGATAGAGGGAGTTAGAAACAGCGATGAGAGAGAAACATCGATCAGCTGCCTCCTGCACATCTCGTATTGGGGATGTGCCCACAACCCAGGTACATGCCCTTGACCGGAATCGAACCTGGGACCTTTTAGTCCGCAGGCCGACACTCTATCCACTGAGCCAAACTGGTTTCGGCCCAAAATAATGTTTGACCAAATATCCGGGGACCTTGTGACCTAGTCAGGTTGACATGTAAAATTAGCCTTCACAATTATTATTTTTTATTGATTTAATTTATTTATTTTTAAATATTTTTATTGATTTTAGAGAGGAAGGGAGAGAGAGTGAGAGAGTTAGAAACAGCAACGAGAATCATTGATCTCATTGATTGGCTGCCTCCTGCAGACCCCCCATGGGGGATCAAGCCCACAACCCTGGCATGTGCCCTTGACTGGAATTGAAACTGGGACTCTTCAGTCCACAGGCTAATGCTCTGTCCACTGACCCAACCAGCTAGGGCACAATTATTATTATTATTTTTAAATATATTTTTTATTGCTAGGCTCTCTTGCCCTCTTATTTTTATAGTAGAGGCCCGGTGCACGAAATTTGTGCACTTGGGGGGGGCTGTCCCTCAGCCCGGATTGCGAGAGGGCAAAGGCCAGGCAAAGGGACCCCACCAGTGCACGATCATGGCTGGGGAGGGATGTAGGAGATTGGCCAGCCGGGAAAGGACTGCAAGAGGGCTCCCAGGCATGTCCGGCCTGTCTCGTCTTGCTCAGTCCTGATTGGCCGGACCCCAGCAGCAAGCTAACCTACCTGAGGGGCATCTGCCCCCTGGTGGTCAGTGCACATCATAGCGAGCGGTTGAGCGACCTTAGCATATCATTAGCATATTACTCTTTGGTTGAATGGATGACCGAATGACTGGACACTTAGCATATTAGCTTTTTATTATATAGGATTTCAGAGAGGCAGTTCAGAGCTTGGGTATCTGGGTGGTAGAGAGTCTGGAAAAATGCTTTGGGGTTGTGGGTAGGGAATTGGGCATTTTACCCACTTCCTTTTTGGTCTTTACGGAACTAAGGTGCTTTGGGGAACTGTTTTTTTATTTTTTTAAATTTTTATCTACGTATATAAAAGGCTAATATGCAAAGTGTCCCCTCAGGAGTTTGACTGGGAGACCGGGAGTTCGATCGCTCAGTATGACGCGCACTGAACACCAGGGGACGGCACGGAACGAAGGAAGGCCCTGGCCGGCAGCTGGGGAAGGAAGGCCCTGATTGTCCCTGATCGCTGGGCAGGCCTAGGGACCCTACCCATGCACGAATTTCATGCACCAGGCCTCTAGTTTAAGTATAGTTGGTATACAATCTTATATTGGTTATATTGGTTTCAGGTGTACAATATAGTGATTTGACATCTGTATATGTTACAGTGTGATCATCCCACTAATTTTAGTAATCATCTTTCACCGTATGAACTTATTGCAATATTATTGACTATATTCCCTTTTCCCTCTCACTCATCCTCTCTGTTTTTGAAGGAAAGTCCTGCTCCTCTCTCCTGGGGCAGCTCTTCCAAGTAGAAGAGCTAACTGATTATTCCTGGGAAGGCACAGACAATATCATTACAACCTTCCTATATTAGGTGTTTATAGTGCTCCAGGTGTCTTATCTATAAGGAAAGATATTATCCCCATTTTCTGGATGAGAAAACGGAAGCTCAGGGAGGCTGTGTATACTTTGCTTAAATTTCACGCACTATTAAGTGTCACAGCCGGGATGTTAATGGAGGTCGTCTAATCAGAGCCCGAGTTCTTCTCACTCCAAGTTCGCACTGGGCTTTAGTTTATAAAGCACTGTAACATACATTATTATATTTGCTGACCATAGCGTTCCCCAGTGAAGTGGGTGTTGTGACCGTCATTTTAGAGATGGGAAAATGGAGTTTTCAAAAGGTTGTGCAGCTTGTCTGTCCTCAGTGTCATACAGCTAGTGACGGGTGAAGCTGAGCCTCAAACCCAAAACCTGTATAATAAAAAGAGAATTTCATCTAAAAACCTCATCGGATATGCATACACTTAGAAGGAATGAAAGAAAAAAATCCCGTCTTAGTTTCTCCAGTGTGACTGAAAATGGAAGAATGGACATGGAGGCCCACTCGGACTTACTCTCCTGCCGGTGTCTTCGATAAGCCAAGTGAGCCCTTATGTACAACCAAGGCCACCCTCTGGGGCACAGTCATACTATTAATAAAAAAATTGGGGTAATTTCACATTTTTCCCCTCATTTATATGTTTCTGCATTTTTAAAATCCTTTGCAGTAAACCCATATTACTTATCTAAGAAAATAAGTTTGTAAAACAAGAACATACATTTGTTGTCCAGAGATAGATGCATCTGGCCAGTCTTAGTAGCATCACAAGACCCAGAGCAAAAATACATATGGTTTCTTAAAAGCTACCAATATTGCAATTTTAATGTATTTCAAGTCAGACTCTGCACCAGAAGGTGGTCTTTTATACAGATTTTGGGTTTGAGGCTCAGCTCCACCCGTCACTAGCTGTAAGACACAAGAGACAGACAAGCTGTGTAAACTTTATTCTCCAAGTTCCCTCCCTGCGGGGCCCCCAACAGCTGGCTTCATCCAGAGGTTTCAGCTCAAGTAAGGTAGCCCTCTCCTCAGTTCTGTCTCCCCAATTCCTGTACTCCACTCCCTCAGCTCTGGCCGGTGTTCTCAGTGGTTAGAGCATCAGTGGTTAGTGGCAACCAATTGATGTGTCTCACGTCAATATTCCTCTCTCTCTCTCTCTCCCTCTCTCCTTCTCTCTCTCTCTCTCTCTCTCTCTCTCTCTCTCTCTCTCTCTCTCTCTCTCTCTCACCATTGTCCTCTCTCTCTCTCTCTCCCTAACTCCATCCAATCTCTCAGAACCCTTTACTCCCCTCAGCAGAATCCCACTCATGAATCATTGTGTTTTAATGACCACTACCAGCTGCAGACACAGCTGGGAAATGTTTCCAACCTCTGCAGTGTTAGTTGACTAGAAGAGAGGGATTTGGGAATGACTGTTGCGTCAGCCAACCGATACTTGCCAAGGTCAAGTGCTGGTCTGAATTTGACC